AAGCATAGGGAAATGTTAGAAAGTTAAAGCTTGCAGAGTACCATCAGATAGCAGTGCTTTTAGAAAGGAAGAGAGATGTAAAATATGAAAATAAGGAAGAATTTGAAAGCAGCACCTGATGCCTGTACATGTGCCCAAATTGTCTTTATAGGGCAGTTAAAAAGATAAACATCTGAAAATTTCAAGGGCTGATAGGGTGCTTTTGTTGTTTCTTTCCATTTTTGACATTATTTTTATGTATATACCTTGATGATCTCGGCTGCTCTTTAATGTGTACCCAAAACATGACATCCTGCCCATTTCTTTGCTATTCCAGAACAAACTCCTGCTGGTGGAGTTTCTTGTCATTTGTCATGGGAAACTGTAAGCACACAAATACCAATAAAAAGAAATTTTAATCCCCAAAGTACACAGTTGAGCGATTTCACAAATATATTATTGAAATCTCTCATGCGCAACTGTACTGTTCAAATTGCCCACATTAGTTTTCTAACTAACATGGAATTGTGACTTTGGATTTCTTGCTATTCAGATTTCCTTGTTTAGTGTTAGATCTGCCTTCTCTTCTGACCGGTGGATGGCCAAGACTCCTTTTGGTTGCCAGAGACAACTTCCTTGGCCTCTTCTGAGAACCCTCTAGTAAGAAAAGTGTGGGGCTAAGATAAGAAAGAGTGTAGAGCTCTGAGATGTGCATGTTCCTGTTGGGGGAAGGGAATGCAGTGGGGCTGACCCTGGAGGGGAGATTGCTGCAGCTGGCAAGTGAGCCATGGATGGAAATTAGCTGTCAGAGAAAGAAGAGAGGCTGCTTTTTTTGGAAGGGCAGCTCCATCTTCTCTATTTCCTTTTCATGATGGTTGGCAGCTCTTCTATTCATTTCTGTCCTGTTTTGGATCTAACTCTCCCTCCTTTTCTTCACTTAAGTCATTTTGTAGTTGTGAAACAGTGAGACACAGTTCAGTGGAAAATATGGAAAGTAGCGTATTTAGTCAGTCTCAAAACCCAGATTCAAGATCAACTTATTTCTACTATTTATTAGGGTGTGACCATGGCTGCATCACTTAACTACTCTGAGCTCTGGTTTTCTCATTCATAAACTGAACATTTGTGTTATATGCATTTTCTGCCTCATGGGATCATTGAGGCTTAAATGAGAAAATATATATGAAAGCACATCCTAGGCTAAGATGACGATTATGATTATTTAAAAGCCCAGTGGGTTGTACAGTTTTTCTCTCTTATGAAAAGGTAGAATTCCTGTTCACAATATTACTGAACAGAAATCAGCACTAACTTGCTAATTTGAATTTTTATAATGAAGTATAGATCCAAGATAGGTGAAATTTCTGAAGAAGCTGTTCGCTATTGAATAAATCTACATTTTAAAAACTGTCACAATGTAAGCATTTTTAAAGAGGTATATAATAGTTCCTGAAAATATCTGAAATGCCCATCCTTTTATAGATGTTTAAGTATGCAATTTGTTCTAAATGTCTAATCTCGAATGGTTAAATAATTTGCATACTGTTTTCAGTGGCTTGAATTAAAGGCTAATTGAAGTATAGTTTTTGCAGTAAAATTGTATCATCTTTTATGTGGTACATTTAAAAATATTCTATGCCGGATCTAAATTTTATAGTTTTATTATTTTAATTTAATGTACCAAGTAATTAAAAATTGCTACAAAAAAAAGAAGATGAAAATGATTTTAGTTAATTTCTCCTCAACATAATGAGAAGGTGGTAAGTAAAATAATGGAACAGAGCCCAGCACGGTCCCTGGCACATAAAGATATTCATTAAATTCTCCTTAATGAATAAGGAATGTATAATTTCTAAGTATTTCTAGACTTTGGGAAAAGACACCATTCTCAGTGCTATATAAAATATGAAGAAGGTAGATTGACAACTTTTTACTAAATACCTCCATACAGAGGTCATCTAAGTCAACTTTTATCAGACTATTAGATTTTTAGTTTGTCCTACTTCCTTTCTCTTTGCTCTTGGAGTAGATTTTCAGGACTAAGTCAGTTACAGGTGTTGGGAGAGAATTCTCTTTGGGTATGTTGCGTTTCTGTACATCTTGTGAGCAGAGGTACTGACTGCTCTTTGTCCTGGAGTATCTCTTCAAAGATTAGCAAATAACCTTGGAAGATACAGTTTGTGCTTCTGGAGCTAACTGCTCTGGTAGCATAGTGCTTAAGGCGTTTGACTGCTAACCAGAAGGCTGGCGGTTCAAACCCACCAGCCACTCCTGGGAAGGAAGGTTGGATAATCTGCTTCCATAGTGACACTGCCTCAGAAACCCAAGGAGGGGTCACTATGAGTCGCATCCAACCTGACGGCAGTGAGTTTGGGTTTTTGTTTTGGTTATTGTGATAATAAACTGTTCTTTGTCTCTGACCAAAGTATTTCATGCCTTCTACCAGCATTCATGAAACTGTGGCAGGCTAACTTGTTAGCTTATAAGTAGGATAAAATCTCAGACCCTATACAATTATTTTTTTATTTTTATTTTTAATTTTTAGCTTTTATTGTGATGTGGGTGAAAGTCTACAGAGCAAATTCATTTCCCATACAGCAGTTCAGACACATTTTGTCTCATGACATTGACTGCAATTTCCCACAATGTAACAGCTCTCTTCCCACTTCTCCCCAGGTTACCTTTTGTGTCCTTCCTTCCCATGCACTCCTGCCCCCCAAGCTGACTCCTTGTACATACACTTCCCCTCTGTTCTCTCATGATTGATCTCTCCAAGGAATGTATCTGCTTGATGTACATGTTCATCCCATATTTTATTAGGCTGGAAGCCACCGGAGTGAGTTAATTCCGGACCTGAAGAGCAGCTAGGGGCCATAGTCTCAGGGGTTTCACCAGGCTCACCAGACCAGCAAACGTGGTGTTCCCCCCCCCCCTTTTTTATTAATGATTTTGAGTTTTGTTCCACATTGTTCTCCCACTCTATCCAGGATGTTCTACACAGATACCCCTCTGAATGGTTGACAGTGGTAGCCAGGCACAATCTAGTTCTTCTGGTCTCATGGTCATGTAGGCTGAGGATTGCATGGTCTCCCAGTCCCTTGGACTAATTGTTTGCATGTGTCTTTGCTTTTCTTCATTCTTCGCTTTGGACGAGGAAAGACCCATCGTTGCATCTAGATGGCTGCTTGCAAGCTTTTATTTATTTATTTATTATTGTGATTCGAGTGAAGATTTACAGAGCAAATTCACTTTCCATACAGCACTTCACATATACTTTGTCTCATGTCATTGACCACAGTTTACCAC